TCTCTGTGAGTTTGAGGCCAGCCTGGACTACAGAGCAAGTTCCAGGACAGCCAAGCTACACAGAGAAACCCTGTCTCAAAACAAAACAAACACGCAGCTTACATGAACAGACCTTATGGAAATATTTAATAAAACATACAACACCGTCTGTAAGTAGTTATATAAACAGAGAAACCTCACATGGTTCAGTAAATCACATTGTCATAAATTGTGTTGTTTGCTTTTTTAGAAATCTTATAAAGGCGCAAGATTCTGTCGTCCGCACAGAGAAAGAAATAAAAGACACCGAGAAAGAAACAAATGACTTAAAAGCAGAACTAAAAGCTATTGAAGACAAAGCAGAAGAAGTCATAAAAAAAACAAATGCTGCCGAGGTAAGATCTATTTCTGCCTTACAGGATAGAAGTCATTTGAAGCAATTAGGGTGTCGTGTATGTTAAATTTTTTGTGACTATTAAAAGTGTATAACAAAATATGAGAACTTTCTGTGAATCAAATTTTATTAAAGTGAGACATGAAGAAAAATTGCTAACAATGTCTATGTAATGTAAAAAAAAAAAAAAACCTATTTCACTTGTAAAGATGGTATTTGTCACAGTTGTTCTTGGTTTTTAGGAGTCATTGCCAGAAATCCAGAAAGAGCATCGTAATCTACTTCAGGAACTTAAAGTTATTCAAGAAAATGAACATGCTCTTCAGAAAGATGCTCTTAGTATTAAGTTGAAACTTGAGCAGATAGATGGCCACATTGCTGAACATAATTCTAAAATAAAATACTGGCAAAAAGAGGTGAGATTATTCCCATTTAATTGATTTTAAACCTTTTCTGTTGGCGCGAAAGATAGCTTAGTGATTAAGAGCACTCGCTCTTGTAGAAGACCCAGGTTCAATTCCTAGCACTACATGGCAGATCACAACCATATAATTCTAGTTCCAGGGAATCTAACATCCTTTCCTGTCCTCCAGGGACACCAGGCACGTAAGTGGTCTATATATAAATAAACACACGCGTGCGCACCTGCAGATGAAACACTGGTACCATTTTTTTTTTTAATTGCTTTTTGTTTTGTGGGGGCAGGTGTTTCTCTGGTTTTAAGTGTATGCTGTGATTCTTAATTCTATAATCACTTTTTTATAAGAGATCTAATAGACAATTTAGAATTATTTAATACATAGAAATTAGTAATCATTAGAAGAGAGCAAGTACCTTCTCAGCCCAGAGCTTATGTGCAAAGTAGTCATGGTTCATTCCGATATTGTTTTTATAGCTGTCATTGTTCATGTTTTGACTTAATAAACTTGTAGCTGGAGAGAGCCCACTGGTTACTAGTCCTTGCAGCTTTTGCAGAGGACTCACAGCTTGCTTCCTCAAACCAATATCAAATGGCTTAAAACCAACTCCACAGGATCTGATACCCTCTTCTGGGATCTATGGCATCTACAAACGTGGCATACACACATCCATACACACGCGCACACACCCATACACAAGTAAAAGTAAATTCATCCTGTTTTTGTCTTCTTAATTCTCTTTAGATTTCAAAAATAAAATTGCATCCTATAGAAGATAATCCTGTTGAAACAGTATCAGTTCTAAGCCCAGAAGATCTTGAAGCAATCAAGAATCCAGATTCTATAACAAATCAAATTGCAATTTTAGAAGCTCAGTGTCATGAAATGAAGCCAAATCTTGGTGCCATAGCAGAATATAAAAAAAAGGTATGAGTGAATTGAATTTTGCTTAGTTTAAATTAAGACCTTTTGTTTTTGCATAATGAGCAATGCTAATTCTCAGATTTGTGTAAACTTTTTTTTATAATCTTCACAGGAAGAATTATATTTGCAAAGAGTAGCAGAATTGGACAAAATTACTTCTGAAAGAGATAATTTTAGACAGGCATATGAAGATCTTCGGAAACAAAGACTCAATGAATTTATGGCAGGATTCTATGTAATAACAAATAAGTTAAAGGAAAACTACCAGATGCTTACTTTGGGAGGAGACGCTGAACTCGAGCTTGTGGATAGTTTGGATCCTTTTTCTGAAGGAATCATGTTCAGGTTTGTAAGATTTGAATCCTCCATGTTTCCTGAATTAGTATTTCTTGTGAGGGAAGTATAAAGGTTGAAACTATAACTTCTTTTATTTGGTGATAAATACTAACTTGTTTATGTACCTTACGAGTTTACATCATAAAATATGTACAAATTATGTTATACAATGACTAGTTCATTAATTCATCTTTTAAAAATATTTTCTTCAATGCTAGATTCAATAATGCCAACATTTATAATCCTGGCTTATCACTACAGGGAGATGGGAGCAAAACAGAAACTCACAGGCCAGGTAGCCAGGTTTATACAGCAGTGAAATGACAAAGTAGAAAGGCTTTCTTTAAACACCCCCCCCCAATAGTTTTATTACGAAATTGGTTAAGAGAAAATAACAAATAGTAGTTTACTGTTTTAATCTTAAAATTCTGGTAGATAAGTGGTGGCACATGGCTTTAATACTAGGCAGAGGCAGGCGGATCTTTGTGAGTTTAGGACCAATGTGATCTACAGACTGAGTTCCAGGACAGCAAGGGTTATATAGAGAAACCCTGTGTCCAAAAACTTTAAAAATTCTGGTAGGTGTTTCTAACATGTTTGTCTTCCAATAACATTTCTGTAAACTAGGAATAAAAGACCAGCAGCCAGGCCATGGGATGGGTGTATGCATGTAATCCCAGCACTCATTTGGTTTAGGCAGGAGGATCAGAAGTTTTAAGAAAAATAAAAGGCCATTACATACTGAGGTCACCCTGTTCAAAAAGCCGAAATCTAGATAATAGTATTTGTGAAATGCAGCATACGGATTTAGCAAGGAAAAGTAATTGTTAGTTATAGGAAACACTTCAGGAGTTTTAGCCTGAGTTTTACAAGGCAGTTCAGTAACATTTCTTCATTATTTTAGTGTTCGACCACCTAAGAAAAGTTGGAAGAAGATCTTTAACCTTTCAGGAGGAGAGAAAACCCTTAGTTCGTTGGCCTTAGTGTTTGCTCTTCACCACTACAAACCCACTCCCCTCTACTTCATGGATGAGATTGATGCAGCCCTGGATTTTAAAAATGTGTCGATTGTTGCGTTTTACATATATGTGAGTAAATCTCTGGAAATTCTGTTTTGTTTCTTGCTATCAGGATTTTCATTTTACCCAAATTATTAAAATCAGCTTTCATGAATTAGCCATTGTCCCATGTTAATCATAATTACTGCCCACAAACTTTATGGAATAATATTTGCCTATTTATTATATAATTTGTCTTTCTTTTTCTTTTTCTTTTTAGGAGCAAACCAAAAATGCCCAGTTCATAATAATTTCTCTCCGGAATAATATGTTTGAGATTTCAGATAGACTTATTGGAATTTACAAAACATATAATATTACAAAAAGTGTTGCGGTGAACCCAAAAGAAATTGCATCTAAAGGACTTTGTTGAACTTGTTTATATTGAAGATTGTTCAGTTAGATTGCCTAGATTATTATTTCTAGGTTTTTGTCTGTAACAAATTTTAAGTTGTACATTTTTCTACATTGTGTGACAATTGGTTTCTGTTTTACTACTGATAATGTCTAAAACAAATTGTATCCATTTCTGTATTATAAAAGTGAGTCTGGAGCTGGAGAGATGGCTCAGAGGGTAAGAGCACTGATTGCTCTTCCAGAGGTCCCTAGTTCAATTCCAGCAACCACATGGTGGCTCACAACCATCTGTAATGAAGTGAGATCTGGTGCCTTCCTTGCCAGCAGTACATTGTATGCTTAATAAATAAATCTTTAAAAAAAAAAAAGTGAGTCTGGCTGGGTTTTTTTTGTTTTAACAATTCTTTGATTCCTTGGCAAATTGACAGCATGCCCCCAAGAATTAAAACAAAAGTAACCATCTTGCCTCTCCATCTTTCCAACACTTATTCAAAATTCATTCTTTAGCATCAGGAAGGTGTGTCAGGAATCGGCTCCACCCACAAAACGTTGATTGCTAGGAGTCGCTAGCTCAAGGTCTCTGGCACACCATCATCACTAGACCCTCACTGGAATGCCTTTTGGACGTCCTGCTATATATATAGTCAGGGAAGGGGGGGGCCGATCTTGTGGTTCTTCTGCCATACTAGTCCCTTCTAGCACTCCAGAAGGTCACATAAGTAGTTTATTTGTGTCACCCAAGGCCAGGGATGTGAGTCTGGTCAGTAACTGGGACTACCTCCTCAGGCTAGAAGCAGAGCAAGCTCTGGTAGGCACAAGATATCAAGGCCAAGTACCATGCCTTTGGCGAGGGGTGGGGCCATTCTCCCACGGGGGGGGGGGGGGGGGGGTCAACTCTCCTGCTGCAGGTTCTTTTTGATTGGTAAGAGTTCCACGGTGGTGGCACTTGCCTTTAGTCCCAGCACAGGCAGGCGAATTTCTGAGTTCAAGGCTAGGCTGTCTACAAGAGTTAGTTCCAGGACAGGCTCCAAAGATACAGAGAAACCCTGTCTTGAAAACACAAAAGTATATTACCCTGCAATCCCAGGGTAATGGTGGCAGGCCAGATTATGACTGAGGGTTTGTGGGCTGCCTACATAGGCTAACCCAAACATAAAAGCAAATGTTTCCGTATCTAACGCTCATAAAACCACCATGTACTCACTGTATTGCCTAAAGAATGTTATGCTACTAGAAATAAATTGGAATTTAAAGTCAGCTATCAGGTGTGGTGGTATGCTATACAACACCTTTAATCCCAGCAGTCAGAAGCCTGGTCTACTTAGTTCCTGTCTCCAGGTATTTGCCTTATTCATTCAGTTTTTAAGGAATTAGTCAAATGCTTCCTATCATGATTCATAATAAAGCACTACAAATCAGTAGCATGCTACAAATATAAAAGAGAATGAAATTGCATTTTAATAACTAGGTGGAGTTGAGAGCTAACTTCTGTATAAAAAGTCCAAAGTCAATTCCTAAGCCATTCAATAAAATATTAAGTTTATTCAAATATATTGTTGCACATAAAACCCAGAATTTCCAAATGTGTTTTTTGTACAATCTCAGCCTAATAGTAAAGATATAAAACAGTATATAATAACTTACCAGAAAACACTAAAATTGTCAAGCCTTTAAGGTAATACTCGGCATATGCTTGTTTAGTTTGGAATGTAATGTACGTAAGTTTCGGTTAATAACACCAGTCTTGGCCTGCTCCAGTTTTTAAAGCATGATAAACACTGATGAGAACATTCTCCCACCTAATACGGCACTGTATTACTTTAGTTTGTTGATCATCTGTACAAAGAAGTTAGTATCCCCTTGAATAACATCTTAGCTAACATTCTTTGCTAATATTTACATTTAAAAATAGCACTCAGTATGACCTATGTGTCTGTTAAAAACTGAATACTGTACCCCCTCACCTCCACTCCATCTTCCAAATGGCCTCTATATATAATAATAATGCTGGATAAAATCTGATCTGTTAAGTGGACCTAATGATTAAACTTTTTTGCATACAGCATCCTGCTGGCATATATACCTACATGCCAGAAGAGAGCACAGATCTCATACATGGTCATGGAATCACCATATGGTTGCTGGGAACTAAACACGGAACCTCTGGGAGAGCCATCTCTCCAGGCCCTAATGATCCCCAGAGCTAGGGATTCAAGAATAGCCCATTTGGGTATTTTAGTGACAGTGATCCAAAGTTACACTACAAACATCATGCTAGTCCTTGTTCAGGGAATTAAAGGTTGCCTTACTGAGATCTTTTAAGATCATCTAATTTATGGCAACTCATAATTCCCAGTACTTGGGCTATAGAGATCATTTTAAGATATAGTTTACATGATTGTCATACATGTTTAATATACTTTTTATGTAAGAACAAGATTAAAACACTACAAAAACAAAATAATTGTTTTGCTTTCTGGTGCTGGAGACAAGGCAAGGGCTCCGCCTCGTTTTTAACCTGTTTGGTTTTTAGAGATGTCAATACAATACCCAGACTGACCCTGACTTAAGAGATTCTCTAGCCATTAAACTCAAATTCTAAACACAACCAAAGTTTCTATAAAATAAGTACTAGACACTTGGCATTATCCAAAAGCTCTATTTGGAATGAATGTTTCTGATTTATGTTTGACCAAAAAAGAAGTTTAAGCAATCCTAGCCTGAATCTTAAAACTTTTCCCACCTACATCTATACACTGAAAAGCTTCAAATAACATCAAGATAGATAATGTGGATCAAGGATCTTGTCAATTTTTTCTAATCTAATATCTACATATACAAAGAACTGAAAAGCTACTGTAGCATGTTATAGTAAAAAAAGATATGCTTGTTAGATTTAAAACTTTGAATATCAAGCCAAAAAATATTCAAATCAAAAATAATTTTCTAATTTGAGTTGAATAATCTTTCAGATAATATATCATTTCTGGCATCATTTCTATCCAACCATGGAAGGTTTACCATATTTCTATGTAAGTTTGCTACTTGTACTACCCAACTTCCATCTAGCAATGGTTAGCTTCTGCTAAACAGGAGAAGCCCACTTAAAACTGTTCACTTGGGTTCTCAACGAGAAACTATTTTCAACATGATTTCCTTTAACAAATATAAAGTGTAATATACCATATTTTTTAAGTCATTTAAGTTATTAGATAAACTTTGGTAAACAGACAAAGAGACCTCAGAGAAACATATTGAAGTGATTTCATTTAGGAAGGTGATTATGTGTTGGTTGAAAAAGAGTATCAACATTAATATCACTGAAATCAGTGAAACTACAGCAATATTTAAAATTTTAAAGAATTCGAGTTCTTTTTCATCCTTGTCAGGCCAGGAACATGGCATCCTTTTTGAAGAAATTCTCATTTCAGGAATGGCAGCTTTCTTGATATGTCCAATTTCTGTTCTGCTCCACTCTTCCTTTAATACTTTGCTTACTCGAGGATAAATCTCAACAGGCTGGACCTCGGGGAGTGGTCTCCGTTTCAACATCTGCACACGCTGGCGGACATCATCAATTTTTTCTAGGAATTTGAGTGGAGCCTCATCTTGTAAAGATGTAGTCACTGTCATTAACTCCAGCTGCTCTTCTCTGATCTCCTTCACCCTTTCAATCTGCGGAGTGTATTCTTGATTGATCAGCTTGCCAACGTCACAAAGAGCTGCCAAAAAAAATTTCTTTTTCTGTTCTAATGTATCACTAAGCTCCTTAAAATACTGCAGAACAAATTCCTTATCACCTTGAACCATTTTTTCAGAATGACACTTCTGTTCTTCAAGCTTTTCAATAAGACGGGTGATGTCTGTCCAGTGTGTGTCGGTTAACTGTTTAAACAGCTTCTGAGGTGTATCTTTCTCTTTCAGATAGGCACTTTGAAGGTCATCTATAGGATGACCATGATGTTGGCCTATAGTAAGACAATGGCCACAAACTAATTTTTTATCTAGTAGGCAATAAACATTTAATGGCTGCCTGTAGTGTTCAGGGCAGGTGACAACATCTGGGTGGTCTTCTTGCTGGTACTTTTCAATAATTGCTCTCAATGCAAAATTTACAGGTAAGGATTCTATACCAGTTGAAGAAATTTCAATAATACTTCTGCAGTTAGGACACTTGAGTGGAATTCGCAAAGGCCTCCATATATAAAAGTTTCCAGTTGCCTGAAGAACATTTTCCAGACAATTTCTACAAAACGTGTGAGAGCATGGCAGGACTCGAGGGTCTTCGAAAATACTGTAACAGATGGGACATGTTAACTCGTCCTCAAAATTGTGCATTTCCTGTCGAGACAAAAAAAAGTATTATGTAGCATACATGTGGCATTCTATGTAAGGTTTTAGGCATGACCTTCAAATTAAATGCAGTATTTGCCATTTAAAAGAAAAGCATTTTTAGATGACTCTTTGCAGTTCAACTCCTAATACATACTGAATAAGAGGACCATCTTAAAAGTATTCCACTGCTGGGCAGAGGTGGTGGACACCTTTAGTCCCAGCAATTGAGAGGCAGAGGCAGCAAATCTCTGAGTTCTAGGCTAGCCTGGTTTACAGAGCTAGTTTCAGGAGAGCCAAAGCTGTTACACAGAGAAACCCTGCCCCCAAAAAAAAGGAAAAAGGAAAAAAAAATTGAAACTAGTGAAACTGACTTTATGTACCAAAGACTAATATTCAGTTGAAGTCAACTTAATAATTACAACTACTATATGCAAGTCTTTACATTATAAGACACTAAAGTAAAACGGCGCTCTGTAAGATATAAAAAACTAATTACTAAAGCAAGACTAAATAGATATTATATAGCGTTAGGCTTAGCAAAATTATTCAATTTAAAGGGGGGAAAGTGTGGTTTTTTCTTTTTTTGTCTAAGATAAATGCTAGGGCTTCAGGCACAGGCATCACAACTGGTTCAATAGTTCTTACAAACTCTTAACTTTTCTAGAAATTACTATTAAGATCAGCATACGGCAATTCCTATTTTTCTCTCTCTTTTCCTTTTGTCCTTTTGAGGTGCTAATAATCAAACTCAAGGCCTTGTACATGCTAGGCAGAGACTCAACCATGAGTTAACACAGCCCCAGATCCAAACATTTACTGCAGTTTTCTAAAGCAGTAATTTTTAACTTGAAAATTTTAAAGGAAAAAGTTCATTGACAATAAAAATAGATCTGAGCCGGGCTGTGGTGGCGCACGCCTTTAATCCCAGCACTTGGGAGGCAGAGGCAGGTGGATCTCTGTGAGTTCGAGACCAGTCTGGTCTACAAGAGCTAGTTCCAGGAAAGGCTCCAAAGCCACAGAGAAACCCTGTCTCAAAAAACAAAAACAAAAAAAAAAAAAATAGATCTGAAAGATGAGAGTTGATAACGGTGACAAGTACTGACTGAAAAATGAGAAACTAAAATAAATAAGAAAACAAAGGATACCATTCATCTCTTTCCTCATTTAAAATGTCTGAGAGGCTGAGGAGATGGCTTGGTGGTTATGACAGCAAACTTGTTCTTCCAGAGGATCAGAACTCAGCTCCCAGCACATAAAGAAGCTCACAACCACATACAAAACCAGTTCCAGAGTACCCACTTTCCTAGTACCTCTATATGCCTGCCCCACAACATACACACACACACAACTAAAAATAACTTTTTTTAATTAATTAATTTATTTATTATGTATACAATATTCTGTCTGCGTGTATTCCTACAGGCCAGAAGAGGGCACCAGACCTCATTACAGATGGTTGTGAGCCACCATGTGGTTGCTGGGAATTGAACTCAGGACCTTTGGAAGAGCAGGCAATGTTCTTAACCGCTGAGCCATCTCTCCAGCCCCCTAAAAATAACTTTTTAAAAATGCATTTCAAGAATATCCATGAAACAGAAAAAGGAATCCAGCAATAGTTCAGAAACTCATTTGATAGAGGGTGGACATCCATAAGCTGTTAATATTTCCAACAGAAGCTGGAAGATCTGCAGCTTGCTTTTATAGTTTTAGTTTTTATTGTTCTCAGCAGCAATAAACCTTAAAACTGCCTAGCCTCTGACAGGGAAAAATCAAGTACATTGCTGTTTAAAGAACCTTAAACAAATCCTAGATGTTCTTTGTTTTTTTTTTTGAGATGGAGTTTCTCTAGGTAGGCTTGGCTGTCCTGGAACTCAATATGTAGACCAGGTTGGACCAGGCTGGCCTCGAACTCACAGAGATCCACGTGCCTCTGCCTCCTGTCCTAGGTGTTCTTTACAAAGACTATAAAAGCTGACAAAACCTATACAAAACTAGCTCCAGATCAGAAGTTTTTAAGAACAGGGCTAGCATGCATTGAGGTCTGGCATTCTGTCATCACCAAGGAAAGTTTGTAGCCACAGCATTTGAAAGTACCTTTCATCTGTTTTAGCCTTAGCTCTAACTAATACCCTAGAGTAAGTGTCTTTTTAATTTAATTTAACTACGGAGGCATTTTTACCTCGAGCACTTTACGAGATTTTAGAAGAATTTCTGTAACATATTATATATTAGAATGTAAGCCTCCCATTAGGTCAGAAATAGTACCTAAACAGCAGTCTTAAAAGCAATCTGGGCTTTTTAATAATAAACTCTGTTAGAGTTTATGAAGAGCCCTTCAGGAAATATATCCTCTATTGTCTGACTGACAATATTCAGGATCCATAATTACCAAGTTGTGGCATGTAGAGACTAAGTCTTGACCTGCACAGGATTCCAGGAAACTAATGATTGGGCAACAGTACAGACATGACAGCCACTGAAGAGAAATTCAAGTAAATGCATGCCTAGAAGCTTTACAACTTTACCCCACACCCACAGAGAGCGCCTAAGTCATACAAAAATTACCAAGAATAACAGACATGTTTCTCAGAGTACCAGTGATATCAAAATACACAATGAAGGAATACAGAATAGTTCTTTGAAAGGAATAAAATTTAAGCAATGGACATACATTTGATCCAGATTTAGTATCATTGGCTATTTGGTGTGTAGGTAGCAAAACTGGAAGACATTAGATTTTAGGACTAGTTTGCTTACACATTAGATAGCCTCCAGTATTATTAAATCTTCAAAGTTCTATTTTATATCTCTCACAGAAATCTACGGAGGGGCTGGAACATGATTCAGTGGGTAAACCATTTACCAATGTAAGCTCGAGGACCTGAGTTTGGATCCCCTGAAGCCATGCAAAGCTGAACACAGTACTTATCAATAAACCAAGCAAGCACCAGACACCAAGATGGAGGTAGAAGTGAAAAAAAGACCAACGCTACAAGAATTAGAAGGAGGGTGGCGTACATAGTTGTACAAACATAAAACACTCAAAGATCTCTGAGAATCCATTTGATGACCCAATAGCTCAACCTTTAAATTGTTAAGAAGTTTCCAAGCAATGTATCAATGGTTTAATACTGGATTCTAAAAGAAAATGAAGCAATACCAAATATTGATTTACGGACTGACATTACACTGGGTGACTGGGGGTTGGGGGAGACACTAAAATTTCCCTTAGTAAAGTCAAAGCTGGGTGTAGTGGTGGCCACCTATAATCCTAGCACCCAGGAGGCAGAGGCAGGGGATCTCTGAGCTCAAGGGTAGCCTGGTTGTCAGAGTGAATTCCAGGGCAGCCAGGGCTACAGAAAAACCTTGCCTCAAAAAAAAAAAAAAGAAAGAAAGAAAGAAAGAAAGAAAGAAAAAAGAAAAAGAAAAAAAGAAAGAAAAGAAAAAGAAGCCAATACTCAATAAAAATGTCAACTGTTGATTATCTTGAATGTGAGTCAGATGCGAGGATGTGCATATATATGTGCATCTCAGTAAGCATGGGATCAGAGGACAGCTTTCGGAAATGAGCTGTCGACTTCTTCCAGGGGTTCCAATAATTAAATTCTGGTAATTAGGTTTATGTGACAAGTACTCAGTCACTGAGCCATCTTGACAGCCCAAAAATATGGGGGGAAAATTTACATATATTATTTAGAAATTCAGAAATAAACATATTATTTAGAAATTCAGATGTGAAGGTGGGCAGAGTCAGCTGCATGCCTTTCATCCCAAGCGCTTGGGGAACAGAAGCAGCTGGACTCTGAGTTCAAGGCAAGCCTGGATGCACAGTGAGTTCCAGAACAGGCAGAGACACACAGTAAGAACCTATCTCAAAAAAAAGTGAAAACTAAAAAACAATGTTAGGAGATGAATATGATAGGTTTTAAAGAACAAGAACAGGGAGTAGAAAAAAGTATCCACCAACTTTTAATGCTAAGTTATTTTATTTAATCAGCATACAGCTAAAATGTAACAAACGATTAAAAGAAGAGAGACAATCCTACAAGTGGCCAGGCAGAAATGTACCATGCAAACCAAGAAAACATCAACAATGTAATATAGCAGAAGGATTAAAAGTTTGAGGCCAGCCTGAGTTATATAAATGGGACCCTGAAGAACACAATAATTTCTGAAAGATAAAATAAAAACCCTGTAAGACCATAGTTACCCTTTATACATGCTGTTCTGTATATAACCTAGCTGCTACTCCTTTTATCAAGAGATGAAATCTGTGTACCACTACCACCACCCGCAGGAAATTTGTATAGGTCAAACGATTGCTTTGAGCACCGCTCTGACTTCTGGATATACGCCTCAAGAAGTCTATCAGTTCCTTTCCTGTTGTTATAAAACACTATGACCAAGGCAACTTTAGAGAAGACAGTTTACCATGGCTTACGGTTCCAGAGGGTTAGAGTCCACGCCAATGGGACAGCACAGCAGCGGGTGGCTGGAGTAGAAAACCAAGGGATCTTTAACAGCAGCAGGCATTGGATAGAACGAACTGAAAAGTGAGGCAAGGCAAAGCTTTCAACTCTCAAAGCCAGCTCCACTAACAGGGTCTCCAGCAAGGCTGTATAATCTCTACAACAGCGCCACCAACTGGGGACCAAGTGTCATGTCAAATGCCTAATCCCACTCAAACCACACTTACCAACTAGCAGCTATGCAACAAGTCTAGGCTACCTGGACTTTCAAAAACAGCACTAAGATGCCAGACATATTAGTACAAAGGGCCGTCTTGGAAATAGCTAGCCAAGCTTTCAAGTGTTATACAAAAACAGATAGCCAGCATACACACAAAGCAACAAGGAATGCTACTGTTAAAACATATTACAAAGCATCCATAAATTCAAGAAAGAAAAAGTTTTTACCCCAGAATCTGGTACCTGTGTGACTTATTCACATCTAACTATAAAAATATTAGCAAAGGGGGCTGGAGAGATGGCTCAGAGGTTAAGAGCATTGCCTGCTCTTCCAAAGGTCCTGAGTTCAATTCCCAACAACCACATGGTGGCTCACAACCATCTGTAATGAGGTCTGGTGCCCTCTTCTGGCCTGCAGGCATACACACAGATAGAATGTTGTATACATAATAAATAAATAAATATTTAAAAAAAAAAACATTAGCAAAATCTCTAGTTAAAAAACAAAGCAGGGGCCGGGCTATGGTGGCGCACGCCTTTAATCCCAGCACTCGGGAGGCAGAGGCAGGCGGATCTCTGTGAGTTCGAGACCAGCCTGGTCTACAGAGCTAGTTCCAGGACAGGCTCCAAAAAGCCACAGAGAAACCCTGTCTTGAAAAAAACCAAAAACCAAAAACCAAAAAACAAAAAAAAAAAAAAACAAAGCAGGTAGCCAGGTGGTGGAGGCACACACCTTTAATCCCAGCACTCGGGAGGTAGAGGCAGGCAGATCTCTGTGAGTTCAAGGCCAGCCTGGTCTACAAGAGCTAGTTCCAGGACAGGCTCCAAAAACTACAGAGAAACTCTGTCTTGGAAAAAAAAAAAAAAGTTACTTACTGTGTTGGTAATCTCTTTAGGATGACCAACAATCTCTAGCCCCTTGGGTACCCCAATTCCCCTCCTCTTGAATGTGAATTAGACACAGTGACTCCTGCCATACAAAATGCAAAAAGGATTCTTCTCTGCCCTCAGAGTTCCCACTACCTAAACATTCTAAGCTCATCTGGTACTGTCAGGAGCCAGCACATTTAAACCTAATGCTTAACAAGGAATAGAAAACAGTAAACAAATATGTGAGGACGCTGCAGACCCCGAAATCCACAACTGCAGCGGGAGCAACTTCACAGCAAGCACGACCTTCAAACACCTAACAGCCACTCTGCATTCCTGAATTGGGGGTAAGTCGTGATGAAGCAATACTTTAACACAGGATCCTAACCAAGAGAGAAAGAACACTGCATGCACTGAGAAAAGGAAAAATACATAGGAAAAGAACTAAAGCAGGAAGAGCCCAGACTAGAGAGCATCTTGCATCGCTCTGCACGAATATATCTCACAATCTACGCAAATTCAGTGTTCAAACACTGAACAAACCCATTCAAATGGCTGAAACTGACCCCGGACAATAAAGCAAACCCATGTGGAGAATTTTACAGGTTAGAATGGGGAGGGAGGGGCAAGGCAAGCTCGCTAAGTTCTTCAAGTCATGAAACAATTTCTCGTTCATCTGTACCAGAATACAAATAAGTATGCAAATTTCAAGACAATGTAGTACGATCCCAAAAACCTGCAAAGATAATACAAACTAAAAAGAAACTAATTTCCAAAAATGAAGACTTTATAAACTCCTGAGAGCTGGGCCGTACTCCAACACAGCACCACATTATACTTCACAATCTCTGAAGAAATACAGTTAGCACTCCAGAGCTCAGTGACTTACTTGCCACAGGCCTTCTGGTGAGTCAGCCAGAAGTCTGGGAAAAAGTCCGGCGGTGCCATCACCCTGCCAGGGCCTCACAGCACTGTGGCCCAACTGATAAAATCTCTTCGTGAAACCACAGACTTAATTCAGAGCTGCTTCGATTAACCAGTACACACCTTTAACCCTAACACCTGGGGTGCCGAAGTGGGCAGGCCTCTGTGAGTTTGGGGTCAGCCTGGTCTACAGAGCTAATTCTAGGACAGCCAAGGCTACACAAAGAACCCTGTCCTGAAAACCAAAAAAAAACACTTAAAAGTGAAAATATATTTGATGGAAAACACACTTGCTGAAAGACAATGTCCATATACACATTACCTAAAGTCAAACTTTTACTTTACCAAGCTAAATTCAGTACCTTGGGTCACAAGAAGTGGATGTAGACAGATGTTAATGCTGGCAGGAAGGAACTGGAATAATAAATCCAGTCTGCAAATGTATAAATGATAAAGTGCACACACCATTTGTGTGCATGCCTTCAGATGTACAGGCAGTCTTGTAAAACTTTACATAAAAGTGAAAATTTTGCAGGGCAGTGGTGATGGCACGCGCCTAGCAGAGGCGGGAGAATTTCTATGAGTTCAAGGACACCCTGAACTACAAAGTTCCAGGACGGCTAGGGCTGTTACACAGAGAAACCCTGTCTCAAATCCACCCTGCCCACACATACACGAAAGAAGAAAATCTTTTAGGAAGAGGAACTGGTGGCACCTTTAATCCCAGCACTCCAGAAGGCAGAAGCAGGTGGAGCTCTAAATTTGAGGCTAAAAGTTCTGGGACAGCCAGGGCTACACAAGAAACTCTGTCTTGAAAAAAAAAAAAAAAGCCCAAGGAGTTGGAGCAATGACTCAGAGGTTAAGAGCACTGACTGTTCTTCCAGAGGTCCTGAATTCAATTTCCAGCAACCAAATGGTGGCTCAAAAACCATTTGTAATAAGATCTGGTGCCCCCTTCTGACCTGCAGGGAGACATGCAGGTAGAACATTATATATATAATAAATAAGGGGGAAAAAAGGTGAAAAGTCTTTGAAGTCAAATGACAGTTGTTTCTCGCATTACACCTCCTCCATACGATGGTTAGAATTTTATACACCACCAATATACATCTTTTTTCAGGATATTTTAAATTTTACATCATAGCCCAGACCACACACTGTAAAAATGTACACCTAACTTATCGGAGCTTACCTGGCTTGTTGATCTCCTGATCTGGATACTAAATATACTTTATCTTCTCCAACTTTTCCACGTTCTTTTGTTATTCTAAAATCAAAACAATTAATGTTTCAGATTTTGTAAGAAAAAAAAAGGAGAGGAAAATTGCATCGAGAAGGCTGTTCACGAACTCTGCGGCTTATCTACACTAGAGCCCGATGGTTGGTTGGCTATTTCTTGTTTAGTAGAAAAGTAGTGTCGCCAACAGCCACAATAGCCTGCAGGGAACACAACTTTCATCTGGAAAACCCCAACAATTTTGCCACACAAAGGACTTTTTTCAACGTAAGGCTTCTGTGAGTCTGGACCGTTTTAACCAATGGAATGACGGGAACTAAACACTCACGGTTCGGCTTGGTGGCTTGGCTGAGACCAGGTTTGCCCTTGCCGAGGACCTGGACTCGCTAGTTTACCAGGATGGCCTTGAACTCACAAGGACCCTGGCTCTGCCTCCCGAGCTGGGACTACCGGCGTCCACGACCACGCGCAGCTAGCTACAAAGTCTGGGCTGTTGAAACGCAGCAAAACCACGAAAAACACCCGCGCGCACCGACTTCCCCAGTTCGCAACTAAGAACCTAGGTTATCCGCATCAACGCGCCTCCCCCGCCTGTCTCTGCGAGGCCGTGGGACTCCGTTTCACCTACGCAGGTGCCCATCTGTAAAATGGGCAGAAGCTCTACGCGAACCCCAAACAAAGAAGCAGCTCAAGATGGCAGACGTCCCCGCCCCTCCTCCGGGGTGTCCCGGCTTCAACCGTCCCGCCTGGTCCTGAGGGGTCCACTCGGCTCACCCACCGGCCGCCACCGGCCGCCAAGAGTCCGCCTGCAGCTCCGCGCCGCCGCTCCCCACGGCGCGCGTGGGACGACAGCAACGGCCGCGGCGCCCAGCCCCGCCTCCCGCTCCTCCGGTCCAGGGCGGACGCAGCGGGGCAGCCGGGCTCGCAGCCGCCCCGGCGGGGCCCGACGGCAGCCGACGCGTTACTCACCGCGAGGCTGGCGACGGCGCGCGCGGCGGAGGCTCCGGGGCAGCCTGGAGCGACGGTGCGAGCCGCTCGCCCGAGTCTTCAGCGGCCCGGGAGGGGCGGAGCCTGCGGGCGCCGCCGCCGCCTCCGAGCGGCTTTCGCCCGCGCCGGCTCGGCCAATGAGAGGGCGCGAGCGGCCTTTGAAAGTCAACGGCCGCGGGCCGGGCGCCTGCGCGCTGGGTGTCGCGGAGGAGCTCGGCTGGGTCGGGCGAGCCTCGAGGGGCTCGGGGTCGCGGGGTCGCGGCTCGGAGCGGGAGGGCCGGGGGCTGGGATGGCGCCGGGGCCGGGGGGTGGGGCGAGCGGCCCGGGACGCCCGCGGCTTCTGGAGGCGGCTCGGCCCGACTGCTTAGTACTGGCGACCACGCCCGCGCGCGCTGGCCCGAGCCACGCGGAGCCTTCCATTGTTACCTCACAGGTCCCTGGCTCCCGCCGCCACCACCCCCAACCTCGGGCGCGCTCGGCGGGACTGGCGCCTGCTCCCCCGCCCTGTCCCCCGCCGCCCACCCTCGCCTCTCCAGCACGAGGGACCAGGGAGCGCAGCCGTCGTCTTCCCGCGCGCTCCCTGCCCCGGCTCCTCTCCCGAGTGCACTTGGAAGTCGCACTCACTCCCGAGTTAGGTGCACGGGGCTCTGCTCCGTGCACGCTGGACACCCAAGTCTTAGGCTTCTATTCGGGAGACCTCAGAAATCAGTAAGAACAGAAACCAAGATAATATTAGCGGAGGCCTGAGGCACTCTCAGCCGTCCTCACCGATTCAGTTACCTAAGAAGGTGGAAGTTGTGGGTCCCGGGGACACCCACAGATAGCTCCGCGGTTCCGCTTTACAGATCTGTTCCAAACTTTGAAGTCAGCCTGATGGCTTTTTAACTTCGCCATCATTCTAGGCTGCGACTGTCTTTCCAGAGCGATACACGCACTGCACGTACAAGTTTGTTTCTCTTAAGAAATTGTGACTTGGAGAGGTGGCCCAGCAATGAGCCGCTCTTCCTTCTCTTGATGAGGACCGGGGTTAGGGTCCCCGTACCCACACGGCAGCTCACAGCCGTCAGCAACCCCAGTTACAGGGTATCCCGTGCAGTCTTTTGTCCACCCACTCTGCCGGCAACAGGCGTGCATTTGGAGCATCCAGACATATGCAGGTCAACACGCGCGCAGATTTTTAAGATTTTAAGATCTTTTTAACGTGTAATCGCCTCTAGGATTAATATGGCGAGTATTGATGAGTAGTGATGTTTTGAGTTATTTACGCCACCGGATTCCACCTCCGTGCTTCCTTACTGCAAGAAGACTGAAGCTGCATTCACGGGCTGTCGTTTTCCCAAAAGCTCTAACACATGGAGTAAGAAAAAAAAAAATGCTTGAGAGAAGCAGAAGGGGGAAAGTATATTAGTCCCCAAAACTGAGGCGCACAGACATAAGATAGATGCCCTGATGGAAGAAGGTCACATTATCAAAGAAAAGCAGGGTCCTTAGTGGCGGTGTTAGCCTAAGGTCCCAACTCCTGGAAGACGGAGGAGGAAGAGCCCTAGTTACCCGCGCGTGTGGGCTGCGTAGCTAATTCCAAGCCAACCTAAAATACACAGGAAGGCAGACTTAATCTCGGAGACAGGATGGAAGACGGGGAGGAGAGGGAAGGCAGAGAAAGCAAGAAAATGCTACAGTTGCGCCTTCAAGGAACATGCCTTAGAGGTTCATAAAGTTCTCCACGCAGCCAAAGATTTCTGCAACCAAACGGGGGTGGGAGGGGCAGAGAGGTCGGGGAGACGAGCCTTAGAAACAATGCGGCTCCGCAATGGCCAGTACTGACATATATGTGAATCATGACATGCTCTCCATAGAGGGGAGTGCTGGCCTGGGAAAGAGAGAGCAGAGAATTAAACTAATTAAGAAATTCAAACAAATTAAGATCAAGGCTTAAAAGCAATAAACCAAAAGATCCCATGTGGAGGTGCTTGGTCCTCCCAAAACTTAGTCTGCAAAAAATGGTCAGCTGCTTTGGGTCTCTTTCTAGAAAATATTTCCATTATGATATATGCACTCCCAACAATCCCTTTGTGATAGAATATTTAAAAAAAATAAAGGTAGTAAAATATTTACATTTGTTACAGGTATAGCATGGGAGAGATGATGAAATAAAGCATGAATTCTGGGCTGGGCATGCGGCCAGTGCTCACCTGGCACGGTCAGTCCCCACCCCTGAAAGCAAATCAGCTGTGTGTGCTGACTTCTTGGCGCTCCACAGACACCTTGCTCGACACATTCTGACTTGAGCCCTGAAGCAGGAGGTCTCAGCACTGGCTGCTCACCCAGAGGACAGGGTCCAGTCCCATCCCCCACAGGGCAGCTTGCAACCATCACAGGGAATATGACTCTCTTCTGAGATCACCAGGCTTGCATGTGGCTCACACATCCATGCCTGTTACAAAGCACACCCGGTCACATTAAATAACAGGTAGGCTTGGGTTTTTTGTTTCGTTTGTTTTGTTGCTGTTGTTTTGCCTGACCCTAAGCAACTCAGCAGTTGGAGCACTTTACTCTTCCATCACAAGCGCCTGAGTTCAGTGCCCAGGATGGAAGTGGACCCTACACAACGCCCTGTGACTCCAGCCTGGCTCTGTGGACACCCCCGCGTGTCTGACAATCACTCATACACATAAAGAAAGAATAGAAACAGGAGGAAGCTTGCATCCTTTCTTAGAAGAACAGTACGTTTCTGAAGGAATGACAATGAACATAGATTTGTATTAGGCGCAAATTCTAGGGCAGTTACTAAAAGATAACAGAGAAGCCAGTAGAAGCTAAGGCTTCCCTCAAAGAGCTTGTTGGTCTGAATTCATTGTAGCCCCAACTAGTCTCAGGCTAGCAAGGTCAATTTCCAGTCTTCATACCTGAAGGAGGTCCTTCCCACAAGAATCTCTCCTTTTGTTTCACACAGGAAAATACAGGCCCATTGGCCCCGTTTAAGTCAGAGTTCCTCAAGAGATTTTATCTTGTGGTCATCAACACGCCAACCCAGCCTAACTGGAGAAGGCACTTAACACCATGGGAGTCGGCGTGCACCACTGTGTGGTTAGGAGTGGACTCCGGGTCAAATGTGGTGGCTCACATCTGTAATCAGAGTATTTGGGAAGCTAGGCAGGAGGATTGCTGCAAGTTAGAGGCCAGCGTGAACTATAGGGTGAGTTTGAGGACAACCTGGACTACAAGGTTGGGACCTTATCTCAAAACAACACAAGTAAAAAGAACATTCTCTGTCTAATGCTTTTCATCATGGTGAGAAGACAGATTTAATAGTATATGCCTGTAATGTCAGCACCGGGGAAACTGAGGCAAGAGGACAGCCATTAATTAAAGAACAGCCTGGATGCTGATGAGACCCAGACTCTAAATTGATAAATAAATAACCTTGGTTAATCAAAATTGTCGTAGTGAGAGTCTCGACAGCTCTCCTCTCGGGAGCCTGAGAGAGACGCCATGCCCCACTCCCGGGATGAAGCTCCAACCCAGGATGGACTAGGCTAGAATCTTCCCAGTAAGACCGGTTCTCACAGATTATTAGAGATGGGTTGATCGGGATGTGAGAATTAGCCATTAAGTGCTAGAGCTAAAGGGCCAAGCAGTGTTTAAATGAATATAGTTTGTGTGTTGTTATTTCGGGGCATAAGCCGCGCAGGCGGCCGGGGTGCTGGGAACGCAGCACCGCCGCCCTTATTACTACAATTGGCACCCCACGTGATGGACTAAATCCACTTAAAAAACCTGAGAAGGCTTAAAAATAAGGGAGAGAGAGTTTAACACAGATTTTTGCTGTTTGTTGGTGGTGGCGTGCTGTAGAGAGATTTCCTGATTAGGCAACAGTAGCAGAAAAAATGCTGTGTCATTTTAAAGCGCGACTTCCTGGGGCTGTGCCGCCATTGCGATCTCTGTCTGGCTCCTACAGGAGACAGAGCTTTTGAATAGAGCATTTGGAGTAAAGTGCTACGATTTGTTTGATGGCAACTAGACTCGCTGTGTTCTCGGGTCTGCTCTGCTTGCTAGAGGCAAGCAAGCGCCTCATCTAAGAGAGGCTTCCTGACTCAGCTTTAGCTGCAAAACCCTGTAGCTCATTAAGAGGTCCTGCCACGAAACACTTAAACAGTGCTGACAAAAAGCTGAACGCATGCTTTTCGGTTTTCAGCCTTAGCAGGAAAAAAGCTGTGCCGTTTAAAAATGCCGGCTTTCTGGGCCATCCTGCCAGGGCAAACTCTGACTGTTTGAGGCAGGAGGGCCGGCTACCGAGAGAGGACTTGAGTGTTGTCTGTTGTAGCTCACTTGCTGGCAGGGACCTTGAAATGCCATACAGTTGTTGCAGTAAACATGGCTACAGCCTGTATATCCGCCATGAGGCTGGAAAGCTAAGGAATGGACTGGATCTAGCTGGCAAAGCCACGCCTTTAGTCCTACTGAGATTGCTTGGTAAATTAAAGATTCATGTGGTCAGAAAAAGAGAGATATACAGTAAAGAGAGATTCAAAGACAAAGAAAATTTTTAAATGGTTTACAGTGTGTTAAAAATATATGCAGATTAAAAGTTGAAGTTCTTAAAGTAAAAAAAAAAAAGGAAGAGAGTTGTTGTGTGTGGTACACACCTTTAATCCCAACACTTGGTAGGCAGAGGGAGATTGACCTCTGTGACTTCAAGGTGTGGTAGCACACGCCTTTAATCCCAATGCCTGGGAGGCAGAGACAGGCGGATCTCTGAGAGGTCAAAGACAGCCTGGTCTACAGAGTTACTTCAGGTCAAAGATACAGAGAACCTGTCTCAAAAAGCAAAGAGTTAAAAGTAAAAATAAACAAGCCGGGCGGTGGTGGCGCACTCCTGTAATCCCAGCACTTGGGAGGCAGAGACAGGCGGATCTCTGTGAGTTCGAGACCAGCCTGGTCTACCAAGGGAGTTCCAGGACAGGCTCCAAAGCTACAGAGAAACCCTGTCTCGAAAAACCAAAAAAAAAAAAAAAAGTAAAAATAAACAAAATAGAGGTTAAAACAAAGCTGCACAAAGATGG